GTATTGAACTTGCAAGTGATCTATGTTCTAGAAACTACCCCACTACGAGAATGTACTCGATGCTCTCAATAGTTCAGTGCAGCTCTTCGTAATCTCTTTCCTGCTCTTCTTCGACGATGAGTCTGGCACCGTCAGGCAGTAGCTTTAATAGCTCTTCTCTCTTCTCATGCGGAAAAGCCATACGTGCGAGGTTTTTCCTGATTTCCGCACGACCATCTTGTGACAGTTTCGATATCAAACCAAGCTGAAGACCTGGTTCGGCTGACTCCTGCTCTGTCGGCGTATGATCTGAAACCATACTTTCCACATGCCTTCCAACGCCTCTGATCTCCATCTGCTTCACATGAGGCCATGGAGCTTCCAATAGAACGGGCAAGATCCATTGTCGGAACATGAGATCCATTGGCCGATACGAATAATGCGGGCACGGTGGCCGAATGCCTCTTGGAGAGTCGTATTCATTTCGATTGTAACCCTGCTTGAAGGAGAGAGAACGTAGGGTATGCCGAACGGATTGCATGAAGCGCGCCCATTCAGAGTATCGTTGGTTGCCCTCTTCTGTATCGTACCAAACATTCGTAAAGGAATTGCCGACGGTAGCAATACACAAAGAAGTGAGAGCAGTAAAATTCCCAACGTAAGAATCTAGCAATCCCATCATGTACCGGTCGTCTAGGGCGGTGCGTTCATCTTCCTCGTGTTCCTGCAAATAGTCTACCATGTCTTGGACGGCAATAAACATTGGATAAGGCGGGTGAAACTCGTCAGACTGGAACAGGTTGTGTAACTCAAGTGCTTTGAGTTGGTGGGTATACTCCTGGAAGAAGCAATTGACAACGTCGCGTCGCACCCAGCCACTCAAGCGCACCGAAGTAGCTTTAGGAAAGCATATCAAAGGCAGTAGTAGAGGATCGCATGACCTTTAGAAGTCAGTAAACAATCATCGCTAAACAGCCAAACACTTACTGCGTGAAGCAAAGGTCAATCTCGGAGACGTTATCAAGGCTACGGAACGTGCGCCAAAGAGAGCCTAACATAGTCAGCATCAACACGTCAAATAACGTGTCTGCGTACCGTAGCTTCCATGTCCGTCAATGTCCAGATCTTCTGACCCTGGGTATTCATCCGTCAAGCGCTTGAAATCGTGCTCCAAACTTCCTTCTTCTCCGTCTTCCCAAGCCGTCTCATCGCATTCAAATAAATTGAAGACTGTCCAGCGTAGCACATGCGCGTGCTTACCGAGCCCTGGATCGTGCTGCAAAGTTCGGGTAAATTGCAGCTGCTTCTCAAATATGTCCAAGTCGAGGCGTCCCCATCTTCTGCAGGTAAAATCGGGTGGCACCCGATGAAGCCCGTCGTAAACAGGCGTGCAGTCGATGGGAGCATTATGTGAGCTCAAGTCAATGTTGCGGTACAACTCTGGCATCTACTCGTCGTCAGTCGCTATATGAAAGTTGAGGGATGCTCACATACACCGACGTCGTGTAGTGAGCGGCATGTCTCGCATAGTCTCTTTATGTCGGCGCAAGAGCAAGAAGATAGGATCTCAATGAGGAGCTCTGTTGGTAGATCGAGTAGACGAGACATGTCTCTGCGACTCCATCCAGTGGCGAGATCAACGATACACCGTCAAAGATGCGTTTCGCACTCGGGATTCCAATTAGATATCGAGTAGTGAGGTGTTGTTCGTTTTGAATGATGAAGTAGCTGTGCCACATTAGGCAGCATCCTTGGCCACCACGCTTGTATCCCTTTCTGAATCATCACATTCCTTGCATCTCCAGAACTCGCGCTTAAATCTGTTTCGAAAGCTCTTGCACCCATGCCAGTCTTCCCTCGCCAAATATCTCCGCCGTGGCCGGCATGTCCTCACCGCCTTCCAGTAACAAAGTGCGCACGATGATCCTGTCCGGCATAACATCTTGATGATGATAAATATGGCTCGTGCAAACTTTGCAAAAGTAGCATCGCACGAACTTGCCTGCACCCAGTCAGCCTTTCCTCCTTCAGCAACATAAAGTGAACATACCACTAGCACCTTTGTACCGATACTGCCTGATGTTTTCCTCGCCGGAGACGATCTGCAGTTCCTCTTTCGGTATGATCTGATTGCACGAGTACGGTCCACCACCAAGCTTCTGGCATGTTGAGCAGTGACAAAGCACGTGCTCAGCATTTTCGAGCTTCGCGGTCCATTTTACACTCTCGCAATGGCATGTACCCTTCCTGACCCCATCTCCTTTCGTCGACGGATGTTCGGCTGCAGAACCAAAAAGCACACCGTCTTTGATATCGACGACTAAGCTATCCTCGATCAGCGGCTTCGCGGCTTTGGAGAAGGCCTTATGAACCGGCTCGGTGGTTAGATAATAGTCCAAATCCTCCTGGTTCGCAAACTCTAGCACAAAACCATGTGTCATGCCTTTGGAGAAAGGTTCCCACGATCTGTTTTTGCCGGCTTTCAGCGACTGTATGAGCGGCTTGCCGGTGTTAGGATTCAGCGACTTGTGTTGTAGGGCCATGAAGGACTTGAAGTGGCTTTCTAGATCCGTCCATGATATATCCTGGCGGTATTTGAAGAGCACGATGTGTGTGATCGTGTCGCTAGCCATTGTCTCCGATGCAGGAGTACCTGGTGCGGAGGTGAGGGGCGTAATGGGTGCGGAGTCGAGGATGTCGGCTATGTTGGGGAACATGTAGAAGATGCGATACGGTCTTCATAGAGAGGAACTCCATCTTTTATTATCATGGCGCCAGGAGCAGTAGAAAGGTGGTGTTGCAAGACCGCGATGGCACGCGTTCGTGGAAGGCGCCCCCGGGGCTAGCGCCGCTGGAAGTAGCAAGTTTCGCCGTCTCCGCGCTCTGGGGCAGCCGCGCATAGAACGAACATCTGTCCTTCTCAGCATCAGCACTTCGACCTCCATCACTCACTCATGCCATCTCATCGTGATTTTGTCAATGAAACGCATCTTTTTAAAATGATTTTCATTCCAGATAAAGCTCGCTAAACCGCACAATCCCATCACTGCCGCTCACCAAATCGCATCTCACGGCGTGTTCTCCTTAGCCGATCCCATCGCCTGCCCAGGCGCACTCGCATCCCTCAGCTTGACACTCTCATCTGTCTCCTGCAACAGCGCATCCTCATGATCAACCGGAAAGAAGCGATAACTCCTCATTTCCGTGTTCTGCCAATCACCATGTGCCTGACAGTCGTTCTCATCTAGATCACCAGATACGTAATGCAGGAAATCGCCGTGCGATACCACGACGATCTCCTCCTCGTCGCGGTCTCGCAAGAAGCGGCGGAGCTCCAAGGCACGCGCCTTTAGTGAGCCACCGTCTGGTGCCCATTTGCCCTCTTTGGTGTTGAAGTCGGTGTACGTGTCCAGGCACCTGTGGAAGTCGCAGACGTCGCCAAATTCCTTTTGAAGCCGCTTTACATCGCTTGGTGTATTGGCGGGCTCAGATGTGGCTTCTTGGGCTAAGGGAAGAGCGAGGATGTTGCGCTTGCCGGATTGCAACCATGGCTCCATGCTGATGAGTGCTGTTTGGATTGTGCGGCGGATAGGGCTTGCGCAGACTAGGTCGATGCGATCAAAGAATGGAAACGTTTCCGAAAGGTTTTTGCATTGTTGTTTGCCTTTCGGTGTGAGGTCGGGGTCGGGGATCTTCTCGTTGTGTTCTGCGTTGTGGTAGCCTTCGGCGTGGCGGATGAAGTGCACAGCACGGGGAGCCATTTTGGATTAGGACGTGTAGGTGTCGGGAAGCGATTGAAGTGTTATTTCGTGTCAACCGTAGAAGAATTAATGTCTTGAACGGCTTTGAGATGACAGTATTAATGAAGGGAGAGGAGATCAATATATATACTGCGAGAGGTACATCTAGAGTAGCGTCACAATTGGTATACCGAACATGCACACGCCATCCTCGAATTCGGTCGTCATATGCTAGCATATTCATCGGACCAAGATCTCGTGGCGAGATGCATGTTCACCATCAACATCCACGAAACGATAGATGCTGGTGGATGACGAGAAGGCTATTTCGGCACAGCTGTGAGTAGCATGGAAGGTCAGCCGTGTCAATACCAAAGACACGTCGGAAGCGCTCCTGAGGTTATGGCTGGCTGCGTGCTGGCGTGAAAATAAGCTCCTCGTAAGTTTAGTAGCCTTCTAGAAGGCCTACATGCCCAGCCATCGGAGTCTGGGGCTCTTAGCGTCTGGTAAGTCCCGGGTCGGAGGCGCTTGCTTGGATTCTTGGGCTGTGAACGGCGCGAAAGCACTTACTGAGCCAGTGTAAAGACCCTGACTACCGCATAGACGGATATACATTTGTTGAAAACTTGGTTCGCCGCATGCACAATGACATAAAGGCTTGAGGCCGCGTCAGGAACGATGTGAGCAGTTGCGGGTAATCGGCACGTCAAGAAGGCGATGTAAAGCTTGATGCCGAGATGCACACAGAATGGTAAGAGTCGCGTGAGTATTACGGCCCTTTTCAATCGTTTTCGCGCTGTGGCCCAGAATTAGTGGAGGTGAGGCCTCCGTCACATCCGCTTTGGTCGAGATTTACACGCCAAGTGGGTGACGTCAGCACGCGTGAACTAATGATCCACGGGTTTCCCCACAAACTAAAGCTTCGCCGTAGAAACTGCGCTTGGGAAGAGAGATGCGCTATGCATGGTTTCCCAGAGCTACGGTGCTTGAGATCTTGCTACACGGCTGTAACGGCATCGCATGCGAGAACTCATCTATCACACCGAGCGAGTGTCTCTGCTAGCATACAGCACATCATAAAGTCTGTCCAACCCAACCTTCCGCTTCGAAATCAACATGTGTCCCTTTCAGTCGCGCAGGATCAACGTAGATCTTCAATCCTTTGTCGCCCGACAAAAGATAAGACACTCGCATAATGACATACATTCTGGTTGCCTCCTGGTCTCTTTGAACAGCCATCTCATGCATCTGCTTGTTGTGTCAGTCATGCGCCCACGGAACTCATCCCACATATTTGTCAAGGAAGTCTAGACAACTTACGAGTTTGTACTGTCCCGCACTCAGGAAGAACCTCGTCTCACAAGCACTTGTTGTGCTCTTGACTTCGAAGTAGTATTCGATCGGGTGCCTCGCGAAGTCACGCTCAGTACTACTAGCAGGATAGCCACCTGTGCATCTCCCCTTCAACCACTGCGTCAGCGTACCATCGCGATCCGTGTAGACGATATCCGCTGTTTCGCGACCTTGCCAGTTGGCAATGCCGGCGTATTTCGGATAGCGTGAGAGCTCTCCGCGAATCGTACTGCGCCAATTGTCGAGCGTGAAGTCGGTCAAATTGAGAGCGGCGAGCGTTTCAAAAACCTACAACTGTCAGTAAGCGGACACGGAGTCACTCGAAGCGACGACTTACAAATGCTTCACCTAGAGCCCCATGAAGGCGGTTAATACGCTCCTGATCTAAGCTGCGACTTGCTTTGGGACTGTAGGCCGCATGTCTGGAGCTAGCTGTCACATCTTCGACGAAGGTGGACTCGGATGAGTTCACAGACCCATTTGCTGAGACTAGAGAAGAGCGTCTTTGCGTGCTTGTGTTTTCAGCATTGTGCACGTGTCGCGGCTCAAACGGCGACGATGAATCATCTTCATCCTCATCCCCATCCTCATCTTCATCGTCCGGTAGATTCAGAACTGGCTTTGTGATCCACGACACGCACGATATATCGAGCTCGATCAGGATGTCGTCTAAGGCTCGGAGGTCGCTACCAATGATGACAGAGATGTCATGACGTGCGCTGTCGTCGACTTCCATGATGTCTGCAAGCAGTTTCGGAAGCTGTGATCGATAGGAAGATTGACGTTGCTTCGGGCCTTTGGGTACGTAGATTCTTAGACCGTCTGCCGTTCTCTCATGGTGTATGAATGATCGCTCGCTTCTTACACTAAGATGAAGGTCTGGGTCTTTGTTGTCGATGACCAGGTGGGTCGCGAGATCGCCTCTGGAGATCCGAACAGCTGACAAAGTGTCGAAAAGTGAGTGATCTCCATGGAGAGCTTTCACACTCTTGTACTTCGCAGCACAGCTGTGTAGAGTCAGCTTGACTGATCACACAGAGTGGCTTTCATATGAGGAAAGACTCACCAATATAGAGCGTACGCTTTCACTTGCAGTTGTTGCGTAAGGGCATCGTCTTCCTCACTATCTTCCTCGACCGTGGACTTCTCGACCACCAAAGACGAGAGATAATACCTCTTGATACCAGTATGCGTGAACATGACGTTCATAATTTGAACCTCCTCAACGGAGAAGTCGAGTAAGATGTCATGCTCCTCAAAGGCGCTGCCATATCGAGTATGGTCCCGGATAGCGTAGGCATCGTGACGGCTAAGGAGGACTGTACCGCCATTGGCAAGTCTTTTGGGCAGGAATTTGCTTGCCGCAAGATCGGATAGCGCATCTTTAGTTGCCTTATCCAGCTTGGTAGTAGTCAGCATCCTGCTGACGTCGACGAGCCGCTTTCGGATATTATCGTAGTCGGGCGATTTGTTCCTGACCATTTTCGATATCTCCTTGATAACCATAGTCGGTGTGACTTTCTTGACTTTGAGATGCTTCACGAAGAAGGTTTCCAATTGTGGGTAGATGGAGCTAAGGTCTTCGTATCCGGAAAGCAAGAAACGGCTGTGCCACACACACGTCTCCAGGGTGTGCCAGGTGTTATTCGTGCCCAAAATCAAATCGTTTTGCTGGAACTGCGTCCTAAAGGTTGTTAGCACATACAAGGATGAACCAAATAACGCGGCTAAGAAGTGTTTTCGGTGGTGCTGCTAACATGTATTGAAGCTTTCCAATACTGAGCTCAGTCTCGGATAACGATGTAGACATCGTATGTTCGATCCAAAGCTGCACAGAATTGAAAATCACGCGGGGGGATTAAACAAGGATAACTCACCTCAGTATCTGCCACTCCTCGTCACGGACTGTATTATCACGGATGTATGAATAGATGTCTCCTGCAACGGAAAGGGTGGTTGTGAGATCGGTAGCTTGCCGTCGTTTGATCAGCTCTTCCAAGACATCCTCGGGGACAGCATCTGGTACATCTAGAGTTCCTTGAAAAAATCTAGACAGTGCAGGAATATGCCCATAGTGCGAGTGCAACACGCTCTTGTATCGCAAAAAGGCTGGGCCCTGCCAGACGCATGAAGATTTGTCTACCCAGCTTCTACTGCTGGGTATCCAGAGCAGCTCCTGGGAGAAGAGTTTGCTATTTTGATGAGCCTTGTGACTGAGTTGAAGAGCGTGGGATGAATAGAACGTACCAAAGATCGTCGTGATCGTCTGCCGTAGCGAACTTCGCTAGGCCCGCATATATCTTCTCCAGAATTCCCAGATCAGGATCTTGAGCCACTGACCTGATACCCTGAAGAGCGCACTCGTAGAACTCGAGATCTACCTCGCTACGTACGCCAAATTCTTCCAAAAATCGCCACTTTACACGGCCGTCTTTGTCAAGATTGTCCGACAGTTGGCAAAAACCAGGTATATCGAGTATACGAAACTTGCCCAAGGTTAGATCAAGGTTCAGCATTTCATCAATGACGTCTACCGTAGGTAGGTATGTATCTTGAAGAGGTTCGAATTGGTCAGGCTCATCAACCTGGGCGGCGCATGGTACTTCCAGGTGCCTGAGCTGGTCTTCGATGCGTGAAATGTCCTTTTGGTAATCGCGCCAATGCTCTCTGAGCATGTCCAAAAATTCGTGACCTGACCACAGGTGGACTAACATTAAAGCTGGGGAAAGCTCTGGCAAAGACGTCTTTGCATTTTCGTGTACGAGTGGCGGATAGTATCGGGCACCTGTCGCCTGCTCCAACCACTTTTTCCACGCATCACGCTGGTCTCTCGCAGAGTTTTCTTCCCAGTCGACTAGAGACTTGTCAACAAATCCCAAGATTCCCTGATATCTCGATGGATGAAGTTCAGCAAGAGCTTGATAGAGATGATGGGCTTCTTCTGACGGGAAGTATAACGTTGCAGAGTCTCTCACATGCCCGCTTGTTGTCGGCACCCAGATCCATTGTTTGAGCAGCGAAGCTTCCTCGTTCGCGCAGAAAAGGTATCGAAGATGGGACGGTATATCAGCAGGAGCTTTGTTGGCGCGGCCATGTATCTGCTTGATCCTATCCACGACAAACTCATGCGAACACTCCTCGACACCGAGTGCTGTGTAAAAGGCCTTGCGCGTCGGATTCGAAGACGCGTGTGTATCGAGGAGATTCAATCCTATAGAGCTGGGAATATTGATGCCGTCGACATCAGAGAAGTAGATATGATCCAAACTCCCACCGCTGCTTTGCCCTGGTGCACCTGTCCACTGCCGACGATTCTGCAGAGGTATTATAGCCAGTTTCCTCAGTCTGTTTTGGACACCAACGTCGGGGGCTTTGATCGACCATGCCTGTAGAAACAAGGATGCAAATGCAACGTGCCATGCATCGTGCGGTTCCGTGGTTTTCAATCTCGAAGTGACGGTCAGGACATCAGTCTCTAGCCGCTTCATCATGCGAGGTAGACCTGCCCAACGTACCCCAAGGGAAAAAACTTCAGAGACGTATTTAGGAATGTAATCAGGGGCAAGGTCGACATCACCCGATATGGCCTCCAAGATCGGTTTGCCGCCATGCAGCATGTTGTCCTGTAGTAAACGTAGTTCTCCTGGTCTTCTAAGACGTCGCTGTCGCCAAGTCTGCAGGATAGTTTTCTCTGCGAGCTCTTTTGTAATCAGTTGACGCATTAATTTCCATCGATCGTCGCTTAGTCCGGTAGGTAGGTAATCGAGCCAAGAATACTCCAGGGGATCACCGTCGTTCGTGAACTCTTCAACAGCCATTGCGAACGTCTTCGCCACACCATGGAATATGAATTCATTCCACGTACAATCAACGACACTTTCTCGGCTTGCAGAGGTGACAAAGTCTGATTGGATGAGGAACTTACGGAATGGATTAGTATACTTCTTCTTCACATGACATGATCTTACCTGAATCTGTTGCAAACGCTGCAATGGTAAATAAGCGAAAACATGATGTCCAGATTCGCTAAGCTTTGGCTGCTGTGTTGTGGAGTCGACTGGAAAGGCCAACTCGACGCGCGCTGATCCGCGACCCTCCCGGTATTCGTGTGCTGGCATGTTCTCGACGACGTGAGTGAAACAACGATACAAGCTTTCGTCGACCGTGATTTCATCGTTGAACTCTTCCTGGCGCCTAATAAGGACGCGACCTGGGGGAGATTCAAGTGCGATTCTCTCGAAAGTAGTTGTCACTTCTTTGTCGTCCAGGTCTGGGTTTGTGACATGAATACGGAACCTGCGTAGTCTCTGCAAGAAGAAAAGTGTTGTATCAGGCATGCTTGCGACAGCATTGAGTAGACCCTGGTACTCTGCAGTTGCATCCCTCGCGAGGCGCAAAGTTATTCTTGTAGTCACATCCTCAGGGAGAGGGACTGGCTCGGCGTCCAGTGGCGTCACCATACCAAGACCGTCGTCTCCGCGCCGATGTTGAAACCGAAATGACCAGAGTCCAGATTGAACGTGCACTTCCTCTGCAATGGAGAACACAGACTTGAATCCGAAGCCTTTCTCTCCGATGTGATCGTCTGTAGCTGACGACTTCTTCGAGCTTTCCCCAGTCGCACACACTGCCTCAACGTTGGCTAGTCTGAAGCCATCTTCATTTGTTTCCACAATGAAAGCATCTGGCGCGATCTTGAATCGGAGAAAGGGTAGTACCGATGCGCTGTGCGCCTCGTTGTACAGCGAATCGTCAGCATTCTGAACAAGTTCGTACAAGAAACGATACTTGGACGAGTAAAGCTGCTGGGAGATGCTGCATCAGTTAATAAAATGTGAGTATGGTTTGACCTGCAACACAAACCTTTTGGTGAAAGCTGCCTCAAGCTTGCGCTGTTTTGCAAAAACATACAATGTCCGGTCGCGATGTCCGTGGGAAAGCTTCTCCAAATCCAGTCGGTAATCCTCGTCGATGTGGCCTTTGTTGACACGAATGCGCTCCAATACAGCTTTGCACTCGTCCACTGTTGATGGTTCCGCCTTTCCGAGCCGTTCAAGCACTTCGTGGTACCTGCCACTGATCATGCTGAGAGGTCAAACAGGAATGGCGAATTTGGTGTCGTGTGAATATAGTTCAACGAGTCAAACATGGATGTTTACCTCCTGGGTCAAACAGTAGTAATATGTGCGATTATAGCGAAAGTGGAGAGAAGTCATGAGATTGCTCGCGTTCGATGGTGGGGGTGAACCAGTACGGTATTGGCCGCTGCACGCGTGTGGCACGGTACCTTCTCGCGTCGCACGTACATGCAAGCCCGAGACATTACGGGTAACGATATGCGCCGAGTATTTTGAATGGACCAAACGCGCTGAAAACAAGCTACTGGAGGATGCGCTTCCAGACAAGCCTCGAGCCTTTCTTAGAAGCTAGTCCTGGTAATCTCAAATCAGCTGGTTTTGGCCCCCAAGAAACCACAGTCACTCACAAGCGTACTGTTACTATCAAGGGTTAGACATTCGTTTGGAAGCGCCAGCTTGACTTGTTGGTTAACGCGAAGCAACCCCGTTATCAGTGCTGCTAGAAAGTATGGGGAGACGTTTACATGTCGCTAAAGGTCAGGGCTGGGGATCAAAAGATGGTACTGCTGTGATCTGGACGAAATTCGGTCATGACATCTTGATTTGTGGATGCGCTGTAGGTATCTATTGCGCCAAAGCAATTTTGGCGACGACTATGTGGCAAGGCGAACTTGGCGTGGCATCTCACAAGAAGATCTCCAGGTTGAACTCTAGCGTACTCACGGGGTATCTGTACGATTATTAGCATCTCAGTTACATTGCGAGACAAGCTGAAAGCGACTTACGGCAACTCGAACTTCTGGAGCACGCTCGGGTGCAGGATACCGAAGACACCGATGGTGTGGTTCTTGCCGCCGAGGTTGAGCTTGATAGCCGCTGAGTGCCCAGGAAGGAAGGTCGGGTCTGTGACCAGTCAGTATATTTGCGCCATTTCTGATGCGCAAATCATCTACTTACCGTCAACCTCTTCTATCCAGTAGCCCTGCAATTGCTCGTTCTTTAGTCCGTCTTCGCGCGTAAGGAATGCCGACCGAAGCATGAGCATCAGCCTGTCCAGCAGACCATGTACTTGCTCGAAGCCACTTGTCTTGCCCATGAATGCGGCTGCGAAGTGGCGCTCATTCCTGCTCTTCCTCTCCTGCTCCAAATCGACGAGACCAATGTCGCTAACCTCGAAGATCTTCATCGGTACTGAATGGTGCTTGTTGGAGTTGATTGTCTTGAGCAGACCCGGTAGTAGCGATGTTCGGACGAGTTGGTATTCCGCCGTCTTGGGGTTGGCAAGCTTCACCGCTGTCTTTCCATCGTCTTTCCGGTTCAGCCACTCGAAGTTCTCCTCATGCGAGCAGAGGATAAGAGGCATGACTTCAGTCCATCCTGATGATGCGGACTCTATCCGGACGATATCGCCGAGCTTGTTGATGGGTAATGGCGCTGAGACAGCAGCAGTCTTGTTTGGGTATACTCGCGGCAGCTTGTTGAAGCCATATGCGATGGCGTAATCTTCCATGATATCCGCTTGATGCAGGATGTCCGCTCTTGTGACAGGTACCGAGACGTCGAGGATGTTCTTGTCGGATTGAGAAGGTGAGACGTCGTGGCCCATACGCGACAAGAGTTTCGAGATCTCCTCGGGTGACAAGGTGAGGCCAGTGACCTGGTTCAGGTAGTCCACCTCAACCTGCATTTGTCGCGGTGACAGATCTGGCGACTCTCTTGACTCTCCATTGTGGGGCGAGTTGATCTTGATAGGCTCGATCGACTCCGCGTATCCAGCGAACATGGTGACCATCATGTGGTTGACGATTTCAACCTTTGTCTTATCGGTCGCAGTGATCTCGATGAAGACGTTCTTTGTGTCCAGTGTGACCTTGCTGTGATTGCTGTTGATGATGGGCGGAAGGGAGAGAACGGTACGGTTCGCATCGTAAATTACGGGGTATACAGGCGAGTCGCGAATGATGTGCAGGAAGCGTCCCAGGTGCTTGTCTTTCTACTCAGGGTCAGAATGGTGCTACACATGGGCATCTCGTGTTTACTGACCTCGTAGAACTCCATGAGCTCCTTCGCGTTCATTTCCTTGTCCTGCTTCAGGGGCACGAACTTGATCTGCTCTGGCGGTAGTGCTTCGTATGAGAAGGGGCCCTGAATCGTATCCAAGTCGTGTGTTCCGATGGATACAAGTGTCCGTTGACGTGCCAGATTGGAGTGTAGTTTGTCTTGCAACGCGATGAAGGAGTCGTATCGTTCTTGTGTGAATTTGATACCTCGTAGTATGACACCTGAGCAGAGTTCTCGTATTTGCTTGGTCTATAGAGTGACTAGTCAGCACAACTTCGCTACCGCTTTCCAGACATTCGGCATACCTCAGGCTTGATGTCGAGCACCTGCAGCTCTCCTCCCTTGGGCGCAGTAACAGTCCACTTGGGCAGCTTCTGTTTCTCAAGGAAGACCTTGAGGTTCATAGCGATACCCTCGAAACATAGCATGTCATAGCGATTTGCGGGAATCTCAATCTTGAGTTGTGGTGGTTGCGCCTGATCTTCTGGCTTGGTGCTCAGGCTTGTGTCCTCGTCCAACTCGATACCAAATTCGAAGCATAGGTCGTCGAACTCCTGGTAGGTATATTCCCGACCTAGCTCCTTGAAGAGGGCCGCCTTATCCACACCGATAGTAGGCATTTTGGCGGTTTGTCTGCTCTCTTGGGGGGTTTCGCGTGGTTCTCGTGTGCGATGGTGGGGTATTTGGAGGGGTAAGTTGGGAGGAAGGAGCGACTGGCGGGGTGTGGAGAATGTCGCAGTACTCGTATACGAAGGTAGCCGTAATACAGGAAGCTGCTGTCGTCTTTTAGTCGCTCAATGGACCGGCTGAGTGAGAGGTGCGGCTGCGTAAATAATTTGGTATGACTCCAAGCCTCGAGCGCAGCAATCGGCGCCGGGAGCTGCGTCGGACCGGACCTTGGCGCTAGGCCGTTTTGGATGCGCGTCGCCCTGCAGATGGGTAGAAGTTGAGATACAGCTCATGCAAGATGAAGCATGACTCTTTTGTAGCTGGAAGAACAATTTGCTTTCCAGCCTAGTAGTGGCCAACGAACTACCTAGTCCTCCATCCTATCTTCACGATCACAGAGTGCTTGACATCGTGCATAGAGTCTTCATATATGCAATTCTTGACATTCAGTCGTACCTAAATCTTGTTTCTGCAAAGGCCGCTGTATACGACATGAGCCCTTCAAACGCCATCAATGCCCCTGATGTCCATCAGGCGCCTTTACCTAACTAGGCGTAATCCTCGTTCAGTCAAGCAACTCTCAAGGCTATCGACAAAGTTGCAGTCCCTGCCCCAAGTCCAAAGTTTTGTTTCCGCGTACAGCTGTTCTCGGTAAAGGTAATCTTGGTCCGATGGCCAGCATGTGACCAAGTGTATGAATAGAAGGTACATTCTGAGCCGCTCGAGGCTAGTGAGAAGTTGTGGGTTCCACAACACCGTGCCACGTCATGTTCAAAGGCAAGTTCGCAGCGCGTCGCGTCGAAGTTGGCAATCGGATCGTAGCGCATTTAATCCTGCCAGTCCCACACTTTTTTGAGGAAGTGTGCCATGTTGACCTTTTTCGATTTCATTTCGACCATCCACGGGTGTTCAAGCATTCGCCAGGGGGTGGCTCTGCGAGGACAGTCCTTTTCAAGACTGTAGAAATTAGCAGGGGTTCATTTCTAGGTAAGAGGGTTGCATACCAGCACTCGATAAAGTACTTGAAGTTCTCTGACCACTTGATGCCATTTTCGGGCTCATCCTTGAGCTTGGGAATGGGTTGTCGAACGATGTAGGTGAGTAAATCAATAAGACCAGCGCGGGGGTTCATCTCGGTTCCATCGGCAGGGAACGGGAAGCGATGCTGCGCGACTTCGAGTAGAGTAACACCTAGACTCCACACATCACTAGTGATTGTATAGCTTTGCCCGGTGATGCGCTCTGGTGCCATGTAGTATGAGGTTCCAATGAAAGTGTTGGCGTCTCCCTTGGTTCCGAATTCTCCGGATACACCGAAATCGCAGAGCTTGACCTGACCATTCCGGCATAATAGGATGTTGCTCGGCTTGATGTCCCGGTGTATGATGCGATGAGAGTGGAGGTATGTCAGTCCATTCAGCACGCCCTCGGCGACCTTGCCAAGGACCTTCTCGCCTGTGCGGCCTCCAAGCTTCTTGACCTCGCGGTATACTGCATCGAGCGATCCGCCTTCGCAGAACTCCATGGCGATGCTGATGGTCCCTGTGCTGTCGTCCATGAAAGCACCGTAGTAACGGCAGATGTGGTCACTGGCGCAGTTCTTGTTGAAAGACAATTCTCGTACGATTTGCTTCTTGACATCGGGATCGGGGTTCGTTGTGATGATCTGGAATACGATTAGTCGAGTCCCAAGCATCGTCTGAGACCATGCATACCTTCAATGCAAACGTAGTTTTTCCGCCCTTGAGTATGCATTTTGTGACAGCACCACCAGCGCCCTCTCCTAGACTTCCTTTCTCCTCAATCATTCCTCGTGCGCTCGCCGCTCTCCAGGCTGCGTCATCTAGATCATCCACCTCCAATGGCCGACCCTTTTCTAGAGCCATAGTATCTAGATCTGGTAGAGGCTGACTGCTGTTTGCACGCTCCATGGAAGGCGCGCCCTCGCTTCCTCCTTGGGATATTGCCGAAATGGGATCTGTGGCCTTTTGAACCCCCATGAATCCCAGTGCCGCATGGTATGATGAAGCAGAACCATTTGCTTGCACTTCGCCAAAGCTACCCGATCTTGAGTGTGCGCTCGTGTCGCTCGAGCCTGATGCTGACAGTCCTTGGTGTGGCATTATAAGCGGCGGGGGAGCTCGTGCGTTTCGTCCTTCCTGTGGTGCATTGCTGGAACCCATGGGAGTAACGACGCTTAGCTTCGGGCCATGACGGGGCTGAGGCGCGTTCAGCGTCGGTATGCCGTTACCTGCACCGTTGGTGACAGGTCGTGCGTTCGGCGATGGTGGTATGGATAGACCAAGCTGTGGCGGTCCCCTCCTCCCTGGGCGCGCGCCGGGGATGGGTGGTCGCAGCAGAGGCGCGGGGGACGACATGTTGGGCTGTGGGTGAGGCGAAGGCCCGTTGTTGAACGACTGCATCTACGTTGGCTCCCGCAGAGTCTGAACCGATGCTGGCCCCGGAGATAACGAGGGAAGTGAGTGGTGTTGAGGTGGCACGTCAATCGTCTTCGGTCCCAACAGAGTGGGTCGCTGCCGTAAGCCGGATCAAAGAGGCGGTCTTGCGCGCGGTCGACGTCTCAGGGGGAGGAATACGAGGAGGTGAGGTGCGGTGGAGTGTGAGGCCGCTCGGGTTTAGGCACGAGTGACGTTGGGCCACGAGTCACAGGCAGGTGCGGCTTGACAGGCGGCAGGCGCGACTCGGTGGTGTGGGGAGGGCTCCGTTAGGGGGCGGGTTTCGGGGGGCTAAGAGATAGCTCTTCCAAGATCAGGCGGACGACGGGCGGCCAGAGTGACAAAGGCAGCGGGTCTTTAGGTTTCAAGACCTCAGCGTGCTGGAGGGGCTCAGGACGGTGGTGGAGAGCGGCTAGGCGCGTGCGCGCAAGGCTTGCCGACAAGGGGACTAGGCCGCTGTCCAGCGGTTCCAAACAGCCTCGACACCTCCAACCTTCATTTGACGCGTGGACTAATAATAAGGAATTACCGATGTGTAGCCAATGACGTGGAGCGAATTCGATCAAAGGTCGGCAACAGCGTGTGTGCAAGGAGTGCGGCCAGAGTGTTGCGGCGTGGACGATGATCCCATGCCCGTACCTTGAGGTTGGGAGGATGCCACGAGACAGGATGCGAGGCGGGTTGTTGAACGTTTCCGCAAGCGCTGAGGTTGCTCTTTTTATCACTGGCTCCAAGCTATGTTTCATCTCCTACTCCCGATGTGAAGGGTCCCTATTTGGGCGGCCTAGTCTATGCGCTGGTTGGTGTCTGCGTCTACATTGCCGCCGGTGACTGCTCGACTGACGTTGGCTCACATGCGAGCACAGCTCCAACCGCAGCGGGATCCCTTGGAATCGATAGTTTCGCGAGGTAACAACAACTCTCCTAGGGCTTATTCTGATGACGGGGATAGTATGCAGGCTCGAATACATCCTTCGACTCGCCATCCTTGTGCGCACGCGAGAGAAAGCCCTAAGGGTCTATCCCTCCACCCAATTGAACATGCCAACGGCGTTTGGTGGTGCAGCTTGGCTGACGTTAGACTCTACCACTGGCTCAAGAACTACAAGCAACTTGCGATCGGAGCTAGAGATTCATACAACCGCCACCAACTTCTTCGTGCCTGGTGCATCGTGGTCTGTACCGAAGATGCCATCCACGTAACCCAGCACCCATCCTGCGCATGCAGCAAACATGCCGCTGATACCTCAAATTTTGCTCATCTTAACACCATCACCATCCTCTGTTTCAAGATCCGCCGCATCACTCCATATTCGGAACAGTACCATCTCAACACGGGTGCCGGCGCTTGTGTTGGCTATCGACGCCAATGGAGCTATCCGCAACTGCATGAAGCTCTAGTGGGTCCCACAAGAGGAGCGACCAGCAGAGCCCCCCGGGGCCGCTGCATGGAGACCTATGTATAGCAACATCACCATTCCGACTAAACATAAGTTGTAAGTTCGTCAAAACTTCACCGAACTACTCGTCTTGAGTCAGTAGGCTGTGCAGAGGGTAAGAATAGGTTTTTCGATATAGCTATTGCATATCAGCTGCAGCTCGTCGAGTTCACGAGCTGTCGGCATACCTTCCGTTACGCAGTATTTCCTCAAGATGGTAACACGCAAACTGTATTAGCACAGCAGCAAGAATATCCGGCGGTCTCTGTGTGGAGTACGTTCACGAAACACTTAGTGTCGTTGATCGTTAGAATAGTGCTCGTTCATAGAGGTGCCTGGATGGATTGGCTGGGCCTCGGCAACGCGCCAGCTTTGGGCAGGTGCTGTCCACCCAAGCGCGACCTTGGAAACAAACGCATCATCTCCACCCACTGTCGACGGACACCGAACAGCGATGGTGTGACTGGGTGGTACCCCACAAAGAGCCCGACAATTTCGTGAGCGTTATCGACGCAGGAAAAGTACATTCTCAGGCGAGCCCAGTTCGTGGCGCGTCCTGGCGCCCGCCGCGGCAATGCTTCTACTACCGAAACCGCGTACAGGCTTTGTACATCTATACCGAGCATGCGCAAACTCTCGTGGCAATAGCAACATCACCAGCTGCTGGTCTAACAGCGGACCAAATACGATACAGAACGGTAATCAGCTTAGCCTTCCATTCACTCTGGGACTTATGGCCGTACGCCTCCTCGGTAACAATACTTGCGATGTCTCTCATCAGTGAGTGTCTCATCGTCGCTGAGGTTGCGGAAGTTCTGGGTAGCTCCTCCACTCTGCGTCATCGTAGTACCCTTGGGCGTATGCCTCCTTACTCCCAGCCTCAGTCTCATCCTGGAAGCTCAGACTCGAAAGCATCATGTACGCATCATCGATCTTGAAAAAGAACTTGTCCAGTTTGTAATCGTTCTCGTCGTCTGCGAACACGAACAGCAACCCTCCAGGTTCTTTCCAGTCCTTTCGAACCACGACGATGAACGCAGTCGGCCACCACTCTAATTCATCCGTTTCGCTGTCTGCCCCTTTGTCCAAGGCTATGTGAGCCTGTAAGACTTCTTGGAGTGTCTTAAGCTCTGATGTGGAAGGGGCAGGTCGAACGAGATGATCCTCGTTGCCCTGCTCTAGCCACTGCTTCTCAAGAGTCGAGGCGACATCTTGAAGTGATACCCCGCCGACAAGGGTGTAGACAGCAAACGCGGCGCGGTTCCAGTCGAAGTCGTCGCATTGACCGAGCTCCGGGGCCTGAGGTTGTAGGGATAGGTCGGGTACCATCAATGCGATAGAACAGTATTGATGAGAAGATGCCTAGTAACCTTATCAACGCCGAGCCGCTCCTGGTGTTACATCAAACTGACCGAATAGATCCGACGGGTGGTTCCTGCGATAGGTATGCACGTTCGGAAGGTTGCTGCCCGCAGTACCCGCAGCGAGCTGGGCCTTAGATAGCAGGGTGGGGCATTAGCCGATGCCGGTGCTCATGCTACAACGGCTATCTATTGACATCGGCATTTGAGTACCACGTCAGCTTTAGACTAACACATCCAAACAGTTCAGAGCACTGGTATCACTTGACATAGTGAGCATACGATTTACAGTTATCAGGTGTGTCGAAAGATTTGGCTTGGCCTCGTCGCATACTGACAACTTGCTAGCAATTCACACAGCATCTTTCGCAATGACGAGACCGGAAGTAAAAATTACACAGGGTACTCTCTTAGGTACGACCTTGCAGGGCGACTATCCACGGGCCGTTGAAGCCTTCAGAGGAGTCCCCTATGCTTTACCGCCAACAGGTGAACGCCGATTCCGACCACCACAAAAGGTAGCACTTAGTCAAGACACTATAGATGCTTCAAACTTCGGCCCAAGAGCTCCAGCACAGCAGCTCATGATAGTTGGACCGAAATTAGAGGAGAGTGAAGACTGCCTCACAGTGAACGTCTTCCGGCAAGCTCAACCCGACAAAGCGACTGCGCTGCCAGTTGCAGTCTACCTTCATGGGGGAGCCTTCAATCGAGGAAATGCTGCGATGCACGATACGGCGTCTATGGTTGGATGGTCTGAGTCGCCCTTCATCGCAGTATCGTTCGGTTACCGCATAGGAGCGTTGGGATTCCTACCATCAAAGCTGAGCGCTGCAGAAGGCGCACTCAATCTGGGCTTGAAGGACCAAATCTGCTTACTTGACTGGGTCGAAAAGAACATCGAGCACTTTGGTGGCGACAAGAACAATGTAACGCTCATAGGGCTCTCTGCCGGCGCGCATTCGGTATGTTCGAGCCGCTGGATACCCTGATCAGATTTACTGACGTTCGTCTAGATAGGGCATCATCTTTTGAACTATGAGGAGGGTGTGAAGCCCAAGTTTCACCGTGTCATCATTGAGTCAGGCGCTCCGACATCCCGCGCTGTTCGCAATCCCGACGCAGAGATCCACGAGATGCAGTTCAAAGACTTCCTGGAAGAAGTTGAATGTCCTTCAACTCTACCAGAGTCGGAAGTCTTCAGCTTCCTACGCAAACTTCCCACTTCCACAATCGCCAAGGCCCAAACCAAGGTATTCCAAAAGTACAACCCCAGTCTACGCTGGGCGTTCCAGCCAGTAATCGACAATGAGATCATCCGCCGCCGTCCAATCGATGCATGGCGGACGGGCAAATGGTACAAGATGCCCATCATGACCGGATTTCAAGGGAATGAAGGCTCGCTGTACGTCAACAAGAAGATGTCGACTTCCTCGGAATTCCTAGATTTCTGGAAAACCTTGCTGCCACAGATGAGCGACGACGATATCCAAACGATACACAAGTTGTACCCTGACCCGACCGAAGTAGCGGACTCTATTTATAAAGAGACGCGGCTCGAGCATGGTGTCGGCGCTATGTACAAGCGTATCGAGGCGGCCTACGCGCACTACGCATACGTGGGCCCGGTACGTCAAACGGCTTTCTTCGTCAGTCAAGATGCACCTGTATACCTGTATCACTGGGCAATGAGACGCGACATCGTCGATGGAGCTCGTCACGCAGACAACATGTTCTATGAAATGAGAGACCCTAAGTTCATTTCGAAGTCGAAGAGCCAGGACGAATTGTCGGGTATCTTGCACGCGTACATCACTAGCTTCATTTGTACTGGCACTCCAAATGCGCTTGGTGGCCCGTATGCGAACAGAACGGAATGGAAGAGCTATGATAGAGCGGATCCGAAGGTGATGATCTTTGGGAGGGATAACGAGGAGATGATCGGCGGGCAGACTATTGGTGAGCCGGCTATCATGGTTGACGACACGTATGCGAAGGAGGAAAGTGACTTTTGGTGGTCTAAGGTTGAACTGTCTCAGCAGTAGTTTGTTCTTTCCGCTACTAGCAATCAACATTAGAGCTTAGCCTGCAGCCCAATCTCACCAACAAGCTCCACAACCTCCTCCGCACACCCAAACGACCCCTGATACCCCCACCCCGCATGCCCATAGTTATGCACAACCCAAACCCCATCAATCCTCTCCTTCTCAAGCCTCACTCCAGCCTCTCTCCCCGGCCTCAGCCCAACACCATGCCGGATAACATCAAGGTGCTCTGGCCCCTTCCCATCCGTCAGCTCAGGCGATAGACTAACAGCCCTCTTCATAATGCGACTAGCGATATTGGGATCGGGTTGACTCTCCCAGTTTCCGCTTTGCATGGTGCCTCCCAGTACTGTTCCGCCGCCAACTGCTCGCGTCATCATGTAGCAAGCCTCGTCTTCGCTGTCGTCCGTGCCGGATACGAACACCATGGCTGGTGCTACGTTTCTTACTACCACGACCTGGCCGCGGATCGGGTAGCAGGTCTTGTCTTCAACGCCCCCTAGTTTCCCAGCTGATAGCCCAGTCGCGTTGACGATGATGTCTGGCTTGAAGTTTTCGATCCAAGGAGACCGCAGGTCAGATATATGCGATACAGTTTTCCGATAGAATTCCACTCCGTTTGCGCGGCATTGGCCTACGAGCCAGGGGAGGTAGAGGGCGGGGTTGATGCACACAGAGCCGAATTCGCTGCCTGATGCCATTCCTGATGGCAACTCGGAGGAGGGGAGGTTGCGGTAGTCGTCGACTAGTTCGCGCCACCAGGGGTTCTCGGCGAAGACGTTGTTGAAGGACGTGGCGCCGCCGCTTTGCAGCTTCTTCATGTCTTGCTTTCGGCGGTAGATGCGGCATTCTGCTTTTGTTTGAGTATGCTATGGTGGTCTGGCCGTGAGAGGGTTTGCTCACTCTGCAGGTGGATACCAGCTTCTGGCACTTCTGTTGCTAATCTTTTGAGTTGCGGCCATGTTCTACGTTCATAGCGACTTTGTGGTTCTGAAGACATTCTGCACAACATATATCAGCTGATTGTGTACCCAGCTGTTCGCGTATACTTACGGCATGAAGTTTGCGCCAGCCCATGGTGATGCATACTCGATGTCGGAGTCGCCAGGCATATGCTTGGCTACGACCGCAATTCTGTTACTTGGGTCTTTGGAGAGAAGATACGCTGAGGTCAGTCCGGAGACGCCTGCTCTTTACACCAAGAAATGTTAGTATGTCGGAGTTAACGGCTGTCGAGGAGCCTTGGAATGGAACGAAGCGTACCCAATCACGACGATGTTAGGCATCTTCTAGCTGGGATCTTTTCGACTGTACGTGAAATGTTTCGAAGGCGAAGATCTTCTTCTCGGGTTTCAAGAAGGATGGGACGCTTCCTTGAGGCGCACAAGCATTCACTAGGCTCGTCTGGCTTAAGTAGTCGGGTCGGATATGCAGCATCGATGCCAAGCCCGAGCCGCGAGTTCTCCGCCGGGGAACTCCACGCTACCGACAGTTGTTGGCTGAAAGGCTTGAGCGTGTTCGCCATTCTGATGATCGCATTGCACGTAGTAGAAAGTGTGATTTCTTTGGGGTTCGCGGTGTCTACGTTATCGATAATATAGTGCCGCTCGATTGGGCGAAGACCTCGGCTGCAGCTGCACCGTCTACCGAATCCTCCTGTCCTCACTGCCATCGCGCCATCTTCACAAACCTCACGGGCATCGAACAACGAAAGTTGGGGGAATCGTTTCTGCATCCACAATACATCCATTCCTAGGAGAAGTTTGTCCAGGCTATGATGTATGACTCGACATGGCTTTCGTGCAATCCGCAGAAAGACTCGGCATCCCCTCTCAGGCTCGAAACCCGAAGTCGAAGTCTCGTCACTCGGTGTTAACGAAGCCTTCCTATAACCTGTGCCAATTACATCCGAATGATTCAAGCACGTAGCTACCTAGTCGCAGCGACATATGTATTGCTCAATGTTGTGCTCGGTATCAGCATTGTCGATGCCGTCTTCGGAGCTCTCGCACAATCGATGCAGGTATGGCGGAGCCGCTAACGGGTACTGGTGGTCACCAGGATGCGACCCCAGCTTGCGACCACCACTTTACGAATGCCGCGGGGCGCTACCGGTATCTGACATCTGCCATGCGACTGCCTTATCACTGCCGAAGTATTGCCGTCGGGCGATGGCATGTTCACAAATCTGCTGCATCCTTTCAAGGTCACTTACCAGGGCGGTGATCCACTTCTTCAATCCTTATCCAGGTTTGATATCAGCTTGCAGGCGAATACTGGCCCACTCTGATAACAAGGTAGCAACAAGTCCCGGATATGTTCTCTGGGCAATGCGATCGGCCGCCTGTCTTCCGCTATCACGCGTTCTTATCGAATCCTGCATGGGTTCCGTTCATTTGCATTGAATGATTGATGTCGCGGGGTAGTTCGACGCGGGTATCTCATCCGAAGTTATGTTAAAGCTCTACTGCAAGCATCCTCGTATGGCTGCTCTGGTCCTCGACGCATATATCACTCACTTTGTTGATTGTCGACCCTCGTTTTCAGCCATGTCGACGGAGCCGAATACCACGAAATGCGACGACAAAACACCGACCATGTCAAAAGACATGGAGGTTCAGCTCAGCAGCATGGACGCGAACTCTCTTCACAAGCAAGAAAGTGCTATTGTGGGTGAAGTTGAAGACCTCGATGAAGCAAACCTGTTCCTGAGGCAACATAATATCACACCGGAGTACATGGCTGAGCTCCTTGAAGACGACATAGCCAACAAGCGCGTTTCCAGGAAAGTCGACCTGTTGCTGTTACCACTACTATGTGGAACCTACTTCCTCCAGTACATCGACAAGCAAGCAATGGGCTACTCCGCCGTCTTCGATCTTTTCGAGACTACTGGCATCACCGGTGATCAGTACTCCTGGCTGGCGTCGATCTTCTACTTTGCCTACTTGCTCGCTGAATGGCCATCAGCATACCTTGCGCAGCACTTTCCAACCGGCCGAGTGGTGTCGCTCTTCTGCTTCTGTTGGGGCTCCATTATGCTACTTACAGCTGCTACGCACAACTTCGCGGGCTTCGCTGTCATGCGCTTCCTCTTGGGTGTCTTCGAGAGTGTTGTGACGCCCGCGTTTATGATGGTGAGTCTTGCTCTTCAGGTTACATGCCGTACACACACTGACGTTTTTTCTTTACTGTTGCAGATCGTCGGAATGTGGTACGTAGGAAAACAACAACCCGCAAGGGCGGGTACGTTCTACTGCTTCAACGGCCTCGGTAGTGCCGTCGGGGGCATCCTCTTCTACGGCGCCGGATATGCGAAGAGCTTCGTCGTCTGGAAGATCATATACATCATCTGTGGAGGTATGACCGTCTTATGGTCTGTAGTCCTCTTCTTCAGATTGCCGAACAATATCATGACAGCCAAGAGCTTTTCTGTCGAAGAGAAGGCTCTCCTGATCGCGCGCGCCGCCAGCAATCGCACCGGAGTGTACAATCGCAAGATCAAGCTGCCTCAGGTCTGGGAGGCCTTGATGGACCCGCAAATCTGGATCCTCTTTCTGTTTGTCACGCTCAACGAAATGATCAACGGTGGCACTGCGAACTTCGGCAAGCTCATTGTCAAGGATGCAGCCGGAGGTGATCCACTCAAGACAACTCTGTATGGCATCCCGCAGGGCTTCGCTCAAGTGTTTTGGGTTTTCACAGGCCCTTTTCTCGCCTCCCGACTGCCGAACGCGCGCACATACATTATGGCTCTTTACCTCTGTCCAACGATCATCGGCGCATGTCTGATTTGGCAGCTTCCACGCACTAATTTGGCTGGGTGTTTGGCGGGTTATTACATGGTTCGTCTTCACGATTTGTCGCTTTAGAGAGATGTTGCTAACAAAGGTAGATTGGCGCCTTCGTTGGCTCTTTGGTGATTGCGCTTCAATTTCCGGCATCCAACGTAGGCGGCTATACCAAGCGTACGACTAGCACAGCTTTTGTCTTTTTAGGTTATTGTGTTGGTAACATCATCGGTAAGCCTCACTACACCGTCAAACCCCATCTCAGAACCGCGGTTACTAACATCACCTACTTCAGGTCCACAGGCCTTCTTGGCGAAGGAAGCCCCAAAATACGAGACCGGTGTGAAGATGATCTTGGGATGCGCAGTCTCTCAAGCTGTGCTAGCGCTTTGCCTGCGAGCCCTGCTCCTGCGACGGAACGCCCAACGCGATCGCGAAGAAGCGGAGAGCTCACACGCTCAAGGCATTAATTCGAGCGATGTGGATTCCATTGAGGATACTACCGACTTCCACAACAGGAAGTTCCGGTATAGTGTGTAAATTTGGTGTCGGCATTGAAACACCCCGTCATAGGGCTGCCATGGTTAGCGTGTTACCACATCCGATCAAAGAACGAGCATATTTGCTTACTTATGGTATTATTCGGGTTCCACTCTGAGCCTCAGCGCCTCCTTCCCTCGCTTTCATCTCTTCTTTTTGCCTCTCCTTGACTTTCTTCGGTTTCTTCGCGCTAACCGGCCCATCGGCACTTCTATCCTTCCACTACCCACGACCTCACATTAGCCGCCTCTCTTTCTCTCAGAACCTTTCAGCAACTCACCATGCCCCCGTAACGGTAATATGGGTATTCCTCTTGCATCCCTTTTGCGTCTTCAACTCCACCAGAGACCGATTTCCAGCATGCACCAGGGCAGACAAAATGCCATTTTTGCGATTCGTCGATTTGGCAGCGCACGAGGACGTCGCGGGGTTTGCAACAGAGAGTGCAGGACTTTGTCATCGCGTAACAGTACGTATCGAAGCTGAGAGTTGGTGGTTTAGACATGGAAGACGAATGTGACCACTGATCGCGATTGGAGAGAAGTGATGACATCATGTATTTCTCCTCTGCGCCAGCACAGACGCGCGCTCACAACGCTCCCACGTCTCCCCAGATCTTCCTTTCCAGACTCCTATGCGTCCCCCATGTAGTTGGTACCCCAACTCTTCGTTGTCACGGCGCGGCCAAAATGTCCTTCAAAAGCAGCACGCCCATAATCGATAATCGAGCGACCTAGGCCTCCGCTAAGACCGGATTTGAATGGAATCGCATCTGGCATCAGCAACCCCATGGCTAGCTTAGGCATCGTTCCACACACGCATATCTTGGCTTGTCAAATGGACGAATAAGCCTACCACTTCATATTCCTCGCTGTATCGCACCATGGTGGTTAGCTGACAATCCACCATTCTCGCGCCTACCGCTCTGGGGCCATTCCCTTGTGTGAATCTCCAAAAGCGTGACATACAGGGTACCCAGGCACTGTTCCTGCAATTAAGCGTAGAAGCGCAAAGCCTTCGGAGAGGACCCATTGCTGGCGATTGGCGGATCTTGATTCAGGCCTCCTACTTTGCGGGGTTGCACGCTCTAGACACTGAATTGATGGACAAGGCTACACGAGGCTGGCTGGACATTGCTACTCTATATAACAATGGCTGAGCTAATGCGCAAGACTGCGGCTGAAGATAGTGCCCATTTTGGATAGAGGTCTGCTAGAGGCATGCCACATTGAACTGAATCTCGCTAAGTATGACCCAGTTTGTGCGGTGGCTTGCTGGCATATCACTAGACATGGAAACCTCTGGAGGTACAGCAATGCTAGAGGCATCGAGAAAACCAATAGTCGTACTGGGGTTTGGTATACTGCAGTATCTAGGTGCATGTAGAGTCGCAGTTTTGCTAGATCTACACGCACTCCTTCTACTTGAAGATCACACACTCAAACAATTTTCATCACCATGAAGGTAGCCACTCTTCTTCTTTTGGCCTGCGCGAGTTCAGATCTCGCGCTGGGAACCGGCACCTTCAGCACCAAAACCGTGTTGAATGTTTGCAAAACAAAACTCGGGCCCACGGCGAAGAACCCAGTTCCCACCACTTCGCGGTATCTGACCATCCCTTCGGTGGCGAAACTATGGATCACCAGCACGCCTTCCACGACTGTTACTCCAGCACCAGTCACGGATACTATAACGGACGTGGTTACAGATACCCAGACGACGACTGCAACTCAGATCACTGATACTGTCACGGAAACATTCGTCAGTACAACCACTGCGATTGAGGAGATGACGACAATCATCACCTCTTCGGTCATCAGCACAGTTGTTAGCACCACTACCTCGACTACAACCATTGCAGCACCTGTCGGCTTCATTCCGATTCAGTCAATGATCCCAAACTCTATGAAGAAGCGCAAGTCATTGCAAATCGAGAAGAAAGACCCCGTTGCCGAACAAGCACGAGGGACGAAGAACGGGTTCAGAGGCGGACCGACGCAGTACCCGGTCAACGTCAACTGCGGAGGCATTGTCGCCGTCATAACTACAAAGACCAGCACGGTCACTGCGAAGAAGACGACGACCATCACTGCTCCTACACCGACTTCCACCAACAGCATTACCAGCACTGCAACAGCAACCATCACTGACTTCGTTCCCAACGCAGTCGTTACCAACACTGTCACATTATTTACGGAAGTGACCTCCACCTCCACAATATCAGTCTTCACGACAACCACTTCAACCACCACAATCGTCGCCGAAGCCCCCGCCGCGACGTTCTACGCCGCCTGCTCCCCAAACAACATTGTGAACACAATAAACGGACAGACCATCAGCGCAGGCACTTACAACACAGATAATTTTGGCCTCAGCTTGGCCAACGCGGCCTCGCCGTACGACTGCTGCGTTGCCTGTATAACAAGCACAGATTGTGCCTTTAGTGGCTTCTATGGGGGGCAGTGCCGTCTAGTGACACTGAAAACGGGGACGTGCAGTCAAAATAATGTGGCGATCACTCTGTTTGCAGGTGCCACTTTAGAGCCCATCTCCGCATCCGCCGGGAACTGTGGGAGGGGTGTATTTTCGGGATAATAAGTTAGGCCGGATTGGGTCGCGCTGAGGAACGGGGTGACGTGTTTGGCTGCACACGTGGGGCTTTGAATAAATGCACAAATGTACCTTGTCTTTGGATTGCTTTTGCATCACCTCATGCGCTGTATAGCATCCATGCTAGAAGCTTTCTTCACTTCAGACATGCGACTGACAACACTTTGGACCTGCCTGATATATGTCGTCGTTGCAATACCATTTCCTTAAGATTGAGAGGGGGTTCATCAGCACCATGCTACCCCGTGACTGCCAGCTCCCCATGCTTTTCCTTCATGACATTCCTCCAACCCTCATCCAAGAGCCATTCAGCATCTTCTTCTCTCACAACATCTTCAATGCGCAGGCCATTCGTCGCAAGTGCGCTGCACCATCCATCCCATGCGCCACAGCGTCTGGCATACATGCTCGGGGTCAGACCGTCATGATCGCGGTGATGCACATCAACACCCGCTCTTATCAACGCATTTGCAATCTCTTCGACAGCGACCGGATCTCCTGGACTACTTCCATGATCAATAACGCGGTAGCAGCGCTGTATCCTGTTGCGGCCAAGACTACCAATCGTGTTGATGTACGCAGCATCGACCTCGAAGAGTGGAGCCATGATGCTCGATACCGAGGGCCAGTCCCACGGGTCGTCATTCATGATTACGGAGTCGGAAATGAGACCCTCTTGCTGCAATCGTTGGATCTGTTGTCGTAATAGAGACCGCGGTCTTCCTTGGTAGTAGTCCCAGAGCAGCATGTTCATTGTTGTCTCGAAGAGGAATGAGGATGATTCGTAGACTTGGGGGATGATGTAATCGACGGTTTTCTCGAACGGGGCACGGTCGTCATCAACTATTGAGCGCACGAAGAGACCTGCGACTATGCTGACATCGTGGCTGGTGGATGTTAGGAAAAGGTTGCTGCGGGGTATTGGGATTGCTTACTTCAGGTTCGATACCCCAATACCTTGGGTTGCCAAATAGTCGAGCAGATCTACCCGTGTGTTTTCTGCAGCATACTGTGTTATGCAATTTAGCTTCTATCATTGCCGTGTTAGAGACCCTTAGGTGGAAGCTTACATATAGACATAGATTTCTTCCTTCACGATTAATCTCATATGGAGAGATGACGCCTCTCCGTAATGCGTCGTCGATCTCCTCGACACCAGCAGATGCAAAAAGCTGGTTGTAATGCGTCTCGGACTCAGCCAATGTGAATACACTGAGTTGAGCGCAGAGCCCCGGATTCGACGCATTGGCTGCATTTCGAAGGAAGTGGGCGTGAATGGCGTGGACTGACTGGCCAATACCACAAGTGAACGTGAAACTGGCCTCGTTATTTGGACGTTTGAACTTGGCTTTGACCGCTCGTCGGGGAGACTGTATACGTAGACTACCGAAGGGAGTAGTTTGTGTATATGCCCTTTGGCCCGCGATCACCGGCGCGCTGAGATAGAGGTTTGCGTAGTCTGCCTCTGGTGTATCTGAAATGGCGTTCGACTCTTCAATTGCACGCCCAGATACCCTAGAATGATGTGGCATCGTCTCCTCAGAGTAATGCCATCGGTCGAAAGATGTTGCGGAAGTTCCTCTGTGTCTCGTTGCTTCTTCCTGCGCTGCTGATGCTACAAGGTGGTCGAACTCGTACCGCAGCCAATCGACGTAGTGTGGGGGAAAGCGGTCAATACCATCGATCAGCAGATTTCTGAACGCTGCTTCTAGATGCGGTTTGACGAGAAGTAGATACGCCATGATCATGTCGCGACGTTCACCGAAGAAGAAGATATTTTTCATCCATCTATCGGCGCGAGGTATGCGATACCTCCCAAACTCAGCGGCTATGGCATCGCCGATCTTTTCTGATAGGACTTCGCGGGTCTTTTGGTGCTCGTTCACTTGCTCTTGGTGAGTGATTGCCAAGATCTTCGAAGTCCGCTTGGTTTCCTGGTAGTGGTAGACCGACATCCGTCCTAGAAGTTCTTGTCCTTGAATCAACGTGGCTTTGTTTGTGTCGTGCCTTTGCAGTAGCTCCAGATGTTGATCGTCTGATCTTTGCCTAGGAGCCTCGTCAAAACAACGTCATCAAATGATGCGATGAGATACGTACCTGTTTGCAACATGCAGAGAGTTGCCTAGTAGACTCTTTGACCGTTCCAGATTGTTGAACATCTTGCTGATCTTCCGCTCATCCAGAACGTACTTCACCCTACTCCAAGTCTTGCCGCCACTCCTAAATCTCGCGCTTAGTATCCTCAAGTTTTGTAATTCGCGTTGCAAGCTCTTGAGCGCAGATTCGAAAAGCGCTACCATGTGATTCGTCACATTGGGTTGTTTCCGACAAGCCAGGGTATCGAGAAGTTGTTTCACGGTTTCGGCCAGTAGCGCAGTCTCTTTGACGGTGGTACAGAGTCTGTCGATCTCTTCTGGCGCACCTGCGATGTCGCGTAGAAATCCATGAACCTCCCTTCCCATTCGTACAACAACATCGGCTACACCGATGATCGCGAAGATCCCCGCGGCGACCTCGAGGCTACCCGACATGATGGACGATCTGATGGCAATGGGTATTAGGCATGACCAGAACTTGAGAATAAAGGGAGACTCCACGGAAGAGCTTCCAGGTTATGCATATGTCGCTGCAGGTAGGTGCGACCACATCGGGAACCGAAAATGGGGGCGGTTGATGCAGCTTACCCACGTGTGTTGGGGCGAAACAGCTCGCAGCCTATCAATCGTCCTTGGCCCCTGCCACACACTCCCGATATAGATGTATCGGGATAGCTTTGATTGTATTCCAGGTAACATTGGTGCCTTGAGTTGGAAGGTGTGGTCGAATAAAAAGCTGTCGTGCCGTGCCAAGGCAACGTCGCATAGTACCTTCCCACTGTAGCATGACCGAACGTCATTTCCTGCAGGTTCACACTCTTCATACTCGCTTCTTATCCTCAATATCCTTACATAGTTGCTGCACGCCTCCTTCAACAAGGCCTCTTACCATCAAAGCATGCATCCACCTCCCGAACTTCCCCTCCAAGACCCCAGCGCTTCCCTTCCCCTTCTCGCGCCACATTACCGTGTGATTGATAAAGGTAGTCTGGCCTCCTTCTTCTTTGACTTCAACTACAAGAAGACCCTCAACAGATGGCCCTCTGTAACTTGCAGGTGCATCCAGAGTCAAGGTAACACGCTTGCCGTTTCGAGAAGTCACCACGTAAACCCCGCAGACGCGGTCTCCAGGTGCAAATCGGAGGGAGCGGATATATGCTGCGTTGAAGGACTCTCTATCTTTAGCGTCTTTGATCATATGCCAGATACCCCATGCAGGAGGACGCGTGGAAAACATAGCCATGGTGTGTCGGAGGAACAGCACCAGCAGCTCTTCTGGTTTTGAACCCCCAAAAGATCCTCTGGCGACTATCTTGCGCGCGCACTCATGATGAACGATGTAGTCTGCCGGCCTCGTTCGTGCGGTGCTGGGAATGGCGATCGTCTTGTCTTGAAGGTAAGGCGTGGTCTGACATTGCACCTTCCTGGAAAGAGTTGCGTGTAGATACGCAAGGTACAAAGCTGGGCCTGTGAATAGCAAAGAGACTAGAAGCACCTTGTAGGCCATGTTCTAGGAAGGTTTCCCACTCATGTCTCTGCGAGCAGAATGCTAAACGATGGAATGGAGCGCGGGGCATGGTGAGCTTCAGCCCTGGAGCTTCAGCTAATGTGTCGACCAATCAAGCGTGATGCACGAATCCTGAGGGCGAGAAGACAACACGAGGCGGACACATCCACGTCAGCAGCCACCAACGAGCACTACGTAGGCCCTAGCTCCAGCTGAAATCCTTCCATGTGACATTCTGGAATGAATAAAACTGTGTTTGCGAACGGCGTCGACGCTCGGATGGTTTTGACACGTGGTGGCTGTTAGGTTTGGTAAGGCTGACGAGGCTGCACGTCGAAGAGATTGAAATGAGGTCGCCATGCGTTTGTGTGCACGTCTTGGAATTATTTGAAAACAGCTATGGCATGGCGCGAGCGCGACGCACGAGGAAATCTGAACAGAAAGCAGCAACGCTGGTGGAGGGACGGACGAGAGCGCAAAATCGCGATGACCTAGGACGCATTGGCCCGTGCTAAGGACCCACTTTCCCCTTTCGAAACGGTCGCAGTGCGCCGGGAGATTCACCCGCCCAGCGCGATCTTCATTTCCCCGCATTCCACGACAACCATCAACCACCATAGTACAAGCTGCGTCACGATGCAGCAGTACCACATATTATCAAATCAATCAAAATGCGAGAATTGAAATGTCAGACTGGTGTTACAACTGCAGATTGTATTGACGATGACTACAGCTATATGTGTGCTTTCCCCCTATGTCTTCCAGTTTGGCTCCATGTTTACTCGCCTCGACCATCAAATTCCCACTGATTCACCGCCAACTTCTTGATCTAGTAATGAGGGCAACCGGAGGGCACAGCAGGGCTCTCGGCAGGAGGAGCAGGAGCAGGAGAGGGAGTGGTAGCGGGGGGAGATCCACCACCGGGGGCGCCGGCACCGGGGCTAACGTCCTGGCACAAGACAGCCTGGCCGGCAACGGGGATGGTGCAGCACTTGGCCTGGTTGCCAGCGGCAGCGCAGCCGGCGATGAAGCCAGTGGTGCTGGTGGGAGTGGTGGCGGCTGGATCGCAACGTTAGCATGATTGCGTGTATGAGTGGAGGGATGGAAGGCAAAGACTTACGAACTGCGCAGTTCAAGCCGACAACACCAAGAACATCAGTGGCACAGCACTGGGGGCTGTTGTAGAGGCCATCGGGGCAGACGGGCTCTGTTCCAGTGGAAGCGAAGGGAGCGGCGGCGGCACCGGCAATGAAGGCGAGGATGGAGAAGCGCATGTTGATGGTTGGAAGTTGTT